GGATCGTTCCCGACGTTTTTCCTACCCTCCATAAACTTCTTAAACCACTCGAAAACTTGCGTGCGAGATAGACACTGATCACCATATACTTCTGTCAACAAATTGTAAGTTTCAGTGGCAGATTTTCCAAGTTTTGTGAGGAATTTGATGTTAGCACGTTGTTCTGCATTAGCACTCAGCATTATTCCGACGGAGCTCAGAAACACGATCCGCTTCTAACAATGGTCGCGGCCAGACTAACCGATGCACGTGAATGAAACTTTGTGTGACGGTAGAGGGAAGTCCAAGGGTCAATGCCCTACCCTCCTCTTCGTCAATGACATGGCCGGAAATGAGTCATAAAAGTAATCTGGGTTCTTTATTGCCACACCTTGTATGTATCTGAAATATTTCACCCATCAATCCACTATGATGCCTAGGAAGACTCCCACGGAAGAACTAACGAGAAAACCTATTGTTCTGACTTTGTACCGAGTTCTTGTATGAGCTTTCCTACTGCAACTGGCAAACCCCATTCCCTATACATGTAGGATAATGGAAAGTTTACAGTACATCATCTATATGAGAAAGCACTGTGACTGTAAATAAATAAATCTTGATAATTTGGCAGGTTTACAAGTTTCTAGATAATCTGGCAGATGTACATACATGTTTCGGCACCCATCAATAATAAATGAAATGTTTTTTGGAAGACTGCGTGTGTGTGCGCCTCACTGCCATCTAAATAGCTGTATGGATTTTATTACTTGTACTGGCATTAACAGAGTATCCACCATAGGTTGGTGCCCAGTGAATATGTAGAGTACATACTCCCTAAATACAACTGCCCATGACACAACTTCAGGAAAATAATCATATGCCCCCTGCAGCAAAAAGCATAGGCCTATAAAAGAAAGTATGAGCAATGCTTTGGCACTGATTTTTTTATTGCAGAAATGGTTCACATGGAGTACAGTAAAATATTTGTTTTTTTTATGGGAACAGTGGATTTGGACACTAAACTACAGACAAATTTAAGTGGGGGCAATATAACAGTTACCTGGAATCATTGGAAAGTAATGTTAAATGAAAAAAAAAGTTTGTCTTAAATTGGGTATCCCATGTATATGTATTACACTGACTGATACATGTAAAATTACATGACTGGCACTAAATTATAAATATTCTTACAGGTACGGCATGTATTTCAGGCTCCATTTTCTTGTAGGATGTCATATAAAAAGTGCATGCTTCTGTTAAATTAAGTACAACCATTTAGACCATATAAATCTAAAAAAACATAGACCTCAGGAAATGCTTGATTCATGTGTGTTACTTAACATGGAAAAGGTTAAGCCCAAGTCTACTCTCACCACCATAATTAAGTTCTGGGAGCCAGATAGAGAGTGCATCTACTTTTAGATTTTCTTCATTCATAACCTTATCTGAATGCACTTTAAATTAACAGTCACTAGAACAATAACACTCGCTCAAATGAGCATTTTGATGTTATACATACTCCTAATTGTTATATCCAAACCTAGATATTCCCCAACTGCCAAAAAATCTTAAAAGAGATAATAGAAAAGCTTTCAGGAATCAAAACAGCTCCCCCCCATTTACTGTTTCTTGATTTAAGGTTTTTCCTCAGTTAATATTCAACTGAAATGGTCCAAAGTCAATAATCACAGTGGTAAGTATTCTCCATAAAAATTCTCCTTAGTTTATTGTTCAAATCCACTGCTTTCCAAAGAAATTTTAAATGTGGCTTTCACCACATTCATGAACTTAACAAGTGTTTGTTTTTACAACTTAAACCACTTGTGTTAGTCTGTAAGCCCACATAAATAAAATAACAGTGGGTGTGTTAAATGCATATAAGTTCAAGTCACTGTATGCTGTGTTTTGGAAATTTATGTTTATCTTCTCGTTTTATAGTGAATAACATAAAGAATTACACAGGTATCCTCATTTAATGAACATTTGATTTATGAATTTTCACTACAATTAAGCAAGTTAATTTGAACCTATTTTTCACTTATCTTGCTATAACAAACAACTTTGGTCAATAAGTGCAGAAGCTTTTACATATAAAGTATTGGGAATTTAATTTTTGATTTATGAATTTTCAGCTTACAAGCAGTTTTCATAGAATGAATAACCTTTGTGAATCAATGGATACCTATACTATACATGACTGATAAAGAAACCATTTCAGTAGAAATAGGAAGTAAAAAACAAGAAGAAAATATTCATATCTACTCACTGCCTTTGGCATGATTCCCTTTCTTTCTTGTGATTATAAAAAAAGCTCACAGCAAATGAAAATACAGCAGTGTCAAGGGAACTAGTAGATAAAGAGTGAAAAGGTGTATTATTATACATATTTTCTTTCCAATTGTGTACACCTTTGTAGCTTCTCATCATTTACTACAGATATAAATCTATTATGAGGATATATTGGACAAATTTATTGCTGCAAAGTTAATCAGCTTACAGCTATTACATTACAGTCTGAAGTGTTTATCCTTGTATCTTCTTAAATATCCACAACATCAAAATGCTTTTCAAACAAAAGTAGCAGACCTGAGTAAGGCCAGTATTTCATGCTATATATCATTAAGTCTAACTTAAGTTTTATGTAGAGCTGGGGTTATACGGCCTGATACAAAACTAAATTACATTTGTTCTACAGCTGTAGGTGCAGACCCCCCTGATATTGAATTTTACAAAATATCAGCTCAGCAGATTCAGAGATAAAGCATGCAGATCGACATACAATGTGCATGGAAAAAATGTATATGTTATGGTCAAAGACCGAAATTGGGCACCATTAAACATCCATCAACCGACCACTGTTAACAAAGACCACTACCCTAGCATACTTTTGATAATGGCCAGTCACTGTAGACAATGTCCTCCTACTTTGGAGAATATCTATTCCTTGGTGTTATGAATAATTTCAGACGCCAACTGGCTAATGTCATCAATGCTCAACCAACCCTGATCAGTGTTTTCCTGTGTGTTCTTGAACACTTCAGTTCGGTAGTTTTTGTTTATTTAAACACTCTAATTTTCTGATTTTTCAGGAAGCGTACTATAATTAGATTAACTGTGTAAACTAAACCATAAGTCCCTTTGAAGATCAGATGTCCATTTATTTATCAGCCCAGCAGCCAGAAAATCACAGTTCAATAAATTCTGTCCAATTCATCACTACAAATGTGCTCTTGGACACTGCTGACGATGATCGGCCATATCATCGAACTATTGCTTTCAACTGGAATAAAGATGCAAGATTCCTTAACCCATCCATGTTCTTGAGATATGTACATAATAAATTATTGTTAGAAGCAAAATAATAATATATAACAGGGAGTCAATATCTATAACATAACCGCATCGCTACCTGACGTCATGGCATGTGAAGATTTTGCATTATCAGGACCTGAAGGGTCAGGTCCAATCCCAGAATCATCCATCGGTGGACGATCTAGATCTGGGTTTGGCCCATATGGTCCAGTTCCATCAACACCCTGTAATTGCATATAGCAGGTGAAACATGAACATACAGAATTCAAAGATCTCAGTATTATAAAAAGAAAATAGCATATAGGTCAAGTGTAAACATAAGAGACACACACATCTGGAGTCTTCACAAGACTGCTGCGACAGAGAGTCATTTGTGAGGCTTTCTTCTGAATGCAGATCAGTGCTTTAGTTTCACTGCACTGTTCATCAATTTTGGTTTCAATTTTAGCTAATTCTCCTTTTTCTTCTTTTCCTCCTCCACAATCCTCGTGCACAGATTCCTATCTGGAACCTTTGTCTTCAATCCTTGTACACCAAGGAATCCAGGATCTTTCTCTACACTATCCAGAAAACTTAGCCCGGCTCTTCCAGCCCCCCTTGTGCCTATGGGATTTGAAAATGTTAAGTTTCCCACATGGGGATGTCTACTTTGCTTTGGTTCATTCATTTCATTTCATTTATTCACCTTCCATAAATCCTGTCGAGAGTACAATCTCATGCAGATGTGGAGATCGTCCTAGTTACAGTCACAACTAAGGATTACAGTTCTCATCCAATAGCACACACATTTTGNCGCAGCACATAGGAAACATCTAACCATAAGCCACATATCCTCAAGCTGACATCTCCCATCTTCGGGACGAATTAACAAGGAGGAGCTTAACATTTTACTTCAAAGGTTTTAAATTTTAAATATTTTAACATTGGCGTTTTAACTTGAGGGCAGTTTCGGATGAATGTGAGAATTGAACGTGCATTCAACAATCCTAACAAGTGTTGTGCTTTTACACGTCGACGTATTGTAGCAGCGTTCACGCAGCAAACATAACTGTGTACACCTTAAACAACGGCAGTGTTTTCATGCTTGTACTATGTACCTCTGATGATGGTTTTATTAAACCGAAACATGTAAGGCAGAAGTGATAAAGAAGTGACCTATAAATTGTTACATTCGACGGACTTTTTATTGACTTTGTGATTGATAGTGTAACGGACCAAAAATGAAACAATTCAAAATACTGATAAACATATACAATATAATAAATAAGTTAATTTTAGTAGTAAAAGTAATGGCAAACCCTATACAATTTGTACGGTTTTATACAAGTCTATTAATTAAAAATTCAATAGTTAAAACAAATGTCATTAATGAGTTTTATATAACATATTGTACATTAATTATATAATAAATTGAAATTAAGACTAGTATACAGTCATATATAAAGATTGTGTATATCTAAAATAGGCAACTAAACACCAGAACACAGACTGACAATCGTGTCTTTTTTTAATTGTAAAGCAAGACAACTACTCGCATCTTAAGAAGATTTATAACCAAAATACTCCTGTAAAGTATAAAAAGAATGTAAATATAAAAATTGTTTTAATTGTACCTCAAAACTCTTAAGTGTCACTCGATATATCCTTAATATGTTGTGATAGATTATTATACACCTTTGTTCCTAAACAGTAAACTCCATTTTGGTATTTACTCAAAATTTACAAGAGGCTGATGGAGATTATTTTGCTGTCTGGTATTTATTCTATGAATCTCTGAATCTGTTTCTGTCTTTTATCACAAAGAGCATAAGAGATAGTATGTACTGAGATGCCAGAGGTAAGATTTCTAATTCTCTAAATAAGTTCCTGCACGAATCCCTCCTTCCGCATCCCAACATAATTCTCATTATATTCTTAGGTGCCTGTCACTAGAGCCTCCCCAGTTCGACAGTCTTCACTACTACAGGGGCATTATATAAGTCATATAGCTTGTAACTGTACTTATTTGCCATCCTTCTTTTCTTTAGTTGGTCCATAATTTTCTTCTTTTTGGCTGTAACAATTTACTAACACAGGTAAATATATATCAAACAATACTGAAATAAAGAATCCTAAAGTACTTCATTTTATTCCTTCATACATGGATGTCTGTCACTCAAGAACATGATCATTATACTGTATAACTGTGAAACAATAAAGAGTGCCAGGGTAGCATAGTAAAATGACTGCACAGAAGATGAACAGCCCAGGTTCAATTCAAAGCAGGGGGAGGGAGAAGTAGTTTATAATATTAGCATCTGCCAGAATGTATGTGAACATTATGGTCCACTTTTTTCTTTCTCTTGTAATTCCAATTTCCATTCTCTTGAAGAATGCTGTCTTCTGGGATGTGGCACCATGTAGATCCTGTGTGAACAGACGTTTTGGAGAAATGTATCGCCTCCATCTTCAGGGTAGAAAAATCCGCAAGCAAGGAACCAGCTCGAGCAGGACCTCTGCAGCTCAGGTCAAGTGTTTCTCAACACTTTGCATCTCACATCCCATCGACCACCCCCCCATCAGTCCCATCAATGAAAGTTCTGAAGAACTGATATTGTAACACTTCTAGTGTTTTATTACTACAATTTATAAAACAATACAGTTTTGTTACCAGAAATATTACATTGCAGCATGCATTAATCAGAAACTTGTGCTTAGAGTGCATACAAGTTTTGTTTGACTGAGACCTCACATTCCACCCAGATGACTGTCACATGCCACTGATTATGAAACATTGACCTAGATAACATAACTTACCTGGTGAGCATTATCAGCTGTATGCTGCTGTGGGTGGTAATGGCGAGGCACATGGTACTGGTATGGCTGATAATAAGGATGTGGTGCATGCGGATGTGGAGGATACTGTGAGTAAGGTTGGTGGTAAGCCTGCTGTTGCTGCTGATACGGAGGGTACTGCGGATGTGGGACAGGGGGTCTGGGTGGGAGAGGGACAGTTTGTGGGGGTTGGCTGCCTGTGCCAGGCCCAGTGCTTGGAGGATATTGTTGGTAAGGACCCTGTGATCCTGGGGGCATCATAGATTGTTGTGTTGGCATGTGAAGGTGTGGAGGTGGTTGCTGTGGTAGTGGTGGCACAGTGGAGGGAGGCTGAGGGGTGGATGATCGAGGAAAAGGTCCTGTTCCAGGCAATGGCATTGGAGTAGGTGACACACCCTTCTGGGCTCCAGATTCTGTCTGCTTAGTGGCAGCAATCATGGCACTAGTTCCATTGTGATTCAGTGTATGCTGTTCTACTTCGCCATTCTGCTGAACTTCCATCATCTGCATGCAAATGGTCATTCCACCAATCAGTACTTTAGCTTACAAAACATGAAGAATAAAGTGTTTTTACCTAAATGCTTGATGTTCAGAAAGTCAATTTTGGGGTTTAGGAAGCTGTTACTTCCTTAACCATTACACATATTAAATAAACAATTCAATGAAGTTTAATTAAAAAAATCCTGTTGTTCAGATTCTACATGCACTCCTTTCACAGCACGACGTATACTACCACAGTCAATAAGCCGGTGGAATGTCCGCAAAGCGTTGTTGCAGTGCATTACAGTGGATAGGTTGAGGCACGATATGATGCCCTGTCAGTTCATCTCTCGTCACAGCAAGGGCAGTTGCGTTCAAACAGTGTAAGCAGAACTACGATCTCTATTGGGAACTGCAGTTAAATGCAAGTGGTGGAAATCAGAAATGTGGCAGTTTGAACAACGGGCAAACATCAAGTTCTGCCAAAAACTAGGCAAATCCCCTACCGAAACATTTGGCGTAGGAAGAATTGGCTTTTGCTACACGACAACGCCCTTGCACATCGCTCTGTTCTTGTCCAAGAGGAACTGACAAGGCAACAGATCACCGTTTTACCATACCCTCCACACTCACCTGATCTCGCACCTTGCGATTTCTTTCTCTTTCACCGGTTGAAGCAAAGCTACGTGGTCGTAGATTTCAGTCGTCCGAGGAGGTGGTCATGGCCACAAGAGACGCAGTACGGGAATGTCCTGCCAATATGTTTCAGCAATGTTTTCGGCAGCTATATCAACATTGGCAGACTTGCATAGCAGCCAACGGCAACTATTTTGAGGGTCGCTCTGGATCTGCATAAGTGTATGTGAATACCTTGTAATATGATACGATAAAACCACAGCCCACGAACTTAATGACTCTACTAAGTATAACCAACAACTGATTCTGGCTCATATCTGAAATTGCTGCTTGAGTTGGCCAAGTGTCTAGTATACTCATTTGTCACATCACTTTTGACACAGCATTGCAAAGAGTCATAGGCTGTCAAATGTGGAGACCAAGTGATGTGGCCGCATCTCCACATTCACTGCTCAGACAAGGTCATTTGGTCTCTAAGATCAACAAATTTAATGCCTCACTGTCTGTGGTGAAATTATGTCATAAGTGTTGTCTACAGGTATACCGGGCAGGTGTCCAACTGAGATGAACTCAAGTGCTGGCAACTGCAGCTGTGATAAAAATAAAATGAGGTTTTAGCTACATATGTGTCATGCTGTGAAAGGAACACATGTGGAAATTAAGCGACAGAATCTCTGAGTGAAACGTAATTTCTGTGAATTGTTTCTTTAATACGTATAATGAAAAAGAAAATACAACTTCTTAAATCCCTGAAGTGATTCCAGACATCCTATAAACTATAGGTCATAATTAAGTTCCCATTAACCCTCTGAAGCATAAATTTCTTCTAAATAATGTTTTAAAAATTCAGTTCTTACCTCATAGGAAATATACTGCATATAATTATAAAGAGCAATTGGTTTATGCAGTTTTGTGGGAAAAACTAATGTTTATACTGAGAATCATACAAAACAGTGTGTAAAAGCAAATTTTCTTAATGTTAAATCAGATGGTGCCTGTAATACCCGCTGTGATTTAAAGTCTTAAACATCCACAACACTGCTTCCTTGTTCTACCAAGTTCTTCCCATTAAATTACTTCCTTAAAAATGTCTTACACATACCCACTGTAAAAAGGAGAAGCCCTGACATTGTGCTGTTCTTATTTCACATTAATAAATTATTGAAAGGAATGATACAAAGTTTAAAATCATGGCCTTCAACGCAGGATGAAAGGAAACGGGAACCTCCTGGAATATATAGTTAATGAAGATAATATCCCATGTCAGACATGAAGTAACACACAATTTTTTAACCCTATATCAGATTTGGAAAACATGGAAGTCTTCTTATCAACTATCTACTTCAAATATCAATTTGTATATTGGTATGTCAGTGATCAGATCATCTACTTACACTGAATTCAACAAAATCATCAGGCTTCTCACCAAATACATTAAGATAACTCACATTCCTGTGAAGAAAAATATCATGCATAGATATATATGTAACATTAATGGGTCTAAAGGTCACAGGTACATATTGTGTTCCATACAAGAGCAGCAAAGTGTATGCCGGGAAGATGGGCAGAACCATAAACACCAGATTTAAGGAAAGTAAGGGATACATACACCTGGGCCAGCCAGAGGAGTCCACATTGGCACAGCATCAATTTGAAACATAGCACAGTACCAGGTTTAATGTCACCTCCATACTAGGTAACACAACGGGATACATGAACCACCTGATCAAGAAGGCCCTCACAAACAGGCTGCACCCCAGAAACTAACAGGGTCAGAGGTTTCAATCTGAGTCAGTCCTGGTACCTACTGACTGATATGATAAACAGTACAGAGATATACCAGGCTGAAGACAAGACCAAGCCTGGTGAACTCTATGAATTTGCCTGCAAGCTCCACACTGGTTCATGATGTTTCAATTACAGGTTACATGTTGGTATATAGATGGGACAGTTTCAGTCACGCTGGATCCTGATGGGGACAGAGATGGTCCCTGAAACAATGGTAATTTTTAAACGACACGGCTGAGAGCCCAAGAAGATTTCAGTACGCAGAAATATCCACTCTGAATATGTCTACTGTCAAACCCAAGACCTTTCTTAAGAAAATCAAACTCCTTTTGCCTAGGTTCAGCAGTCTCTTAGTTTCAGTACTTACTGTGAACATGAGAATGTGCTGCCTGGCCAGACAACCACACTACAGAAATTTCTATCAGTATCTTGTTATATATGCCTTTTTTCAAAACTGTCTTGGACATTATGGTAAGCTCACAAAATTTTCCCATTTTTTATGCCGCTACAAAAATGTATGTCCACCTTATACTATTAGGTCATAACCAGTAAGTTGTTTTACAGGTCACAGCAAATAAACAAAGCATGCATACAACCTCTGTTGGAGGCTGAGAGTCATCTGCTGATGTAACCACTGGTTCTGCTTGTGTGGGCTGCTGCTGTTGGCCTGAGTCATCAGATGGACGAGACTTATCATCATCAGAGCAATCCTTGGTTCGTTCCTTGCGCAGAAGTTCATACTGACGTTCCACCATGCGCTGAAATGCCTCATCATCCACGGCTCGTACACAATGCTACAAAGAAATGGAATTATTCACTACTGACAATTCTTGGGTTTTTGGACTTTGTCCATCATCTGGTACTCTAAAAACTAGAAAACACAATGTTTCAGAACAATATGTTTCCATCCTCATGTGAAGGGAGAGACACCTACTCTGCTGGGTCCCTTAGAAAGAGCTAACCTCAACCTTTTAGAATCTACAGAATTATTTAGTAGTTTATTACAAATATTATGTTTTATTTGAGGACAAGATTATTAATTTGTGACAGCCAGAGAGCACGATGTTTAACAGGAAGAGATGACACAAAAGTAAGATCACACTTTCATTTTACAACATCAGAGTTGTTTCTATTTCATGTACAAAAAAAGTATTATTATATCAGATGACTGAGAAGATGGGTCAACTACAAGGTTTGGATCAAGCAAGTTGGCCCAAGTGCTGATGGTCTGAATCTCAGTGAGGACACAAGTATGCTGATTGATGTTTCTCATGATTCTCCTCAGCCCCTACAAGCACAGGCCATGGCCCACAACCTTTCGCATTCATTCCAATTCACTATTCAGTGTCATCCTATCATTGGACACACTACAATCTGAGCTACTGACTATGCTCTGAACTAAAACAAATACAAAGTTTGGGGCTAGAAGAACATTTCAAAGAAACTACTTACATAAAAAATACTTTTTTAGCATGTGTGGCATGAAAGCAGTACACAAGGTAGGGAAGAGGGGGTTGGAACCAGGGTTATGAGCAAGAAATGGGAATTCATATGCTGAGAAGGGCCATTTTCTTAAGGAGGAAGGGGAATAAGTTGAAAGAAAAATGAATTAAGGTAAGATATAGGAGGAAAATGTTAGCAGCATACACCAAAAGGTAGCAGATGACAAATAATGGAAGGACACATTCTGATTTGGACTCTAGACCTGGGAGTCGACTGAGACTAATTATTGTATATATAGAGGCAAAGCCATGAAGACCCATAGGGTTGTGAGACGTCGAGGCTCTCAAATTTTCTCTAGATAATCGGCACACAGATGGCAGTAAGGCTTTTAGCCTTATCAGCCAGCTGCCCTTTAACCTCCAGAAGATTTCTGGTACTCATTTCTGTCAGAGGTTGAGTTGACCCTAGGGACACAGTGAGGTTGGAGGCATTAGGTCAACTGAAAAAAATCTGCCTCACTGGGACTTGAACCTGTGACCTTCCAACTTGTAGCATAGTGCCTGAACCAACTATGCTACCATGTGCCCCAGTTATTGTACATATGCCGAAATGAGAGGAAGTGGAAAATGAAGAGAAGAAAGCTCTTGACATATATGAAATACAACATGGCAGCATGCAAACTTCTGGGGGGTGTGAAATGAATTTAACCTTTATTGCACATGTGATGCACAACAGTGTCAGCACACACACTGGTTCATTCATTCATTCATTTTATTTGGTATTCATAATTGCTACAACAGTAACACTTGAACAATTCACATCATTAAATACATCGTTCTTGAAATCCTTTTGCCCAAATGATTAGAATTCATCAACAAATAAATAATCACTCTTGATGTGGTTAACCTATAATTAAAATATAACACACATTATCAAACCAGATAAATAATAAACTTAGATACAATTGTGTACTGCACATCTTAATAATAATAATAATAATTTTATTTAACATTCATCACAGTTACAAATCGTACTTCTTGAACAAGTCACATACATATACAACTTTTCCAGTCTAATTGGCCTCCTGCCCAATCGACTGAACGTCATCATATATCACATAACATAACATTCAATTACAATTAAAACCACACTCTTGGAATAATTAAAATATATTAGGTACAATTAAATTTACGACTACCTTGAGAAGACCTTGTATTTTCTAAATACAAGTCCTGTTACCACCAACTTTAAATCTGACACCATGCTATAGCAGGTTTAAATCTAACCAATAAATGTTAACCAGCTTAGAGCAGGACTGAATGGTGGACACTTGTGATGAGTAATGGAACTTCAGGTTTCACATCAAGAAATGTCTTGAACAGATGAGTTCATCCTGATTCTTTATCACAAACAAACAGTTTCGCTTTCTTTCAGGATGCAGTCTAAATATCAAGGTTTTACAGTAGCCACTGCCTCAAAATGATGAATAGTTTTAAATCTTTTGCCCCCCCCCCCAAAAAGAGAGAGAGAGAGAGAGAGAGAGAGGAACCAACTTCAAATGAGATTTTCTGAAGAATGTACTGAAACTGTACCATTCTCATTTACAACACCTGCAAAATGGTAAACTATAAATGTGTACTTTATAAGAACAGTGACAACTCACCTTCTTTAATTCTTCTTGAAACTGTTCACTGCTCTCAATGAATTTCCTTTTCTTTGCTTCAAACTTCTCCTCAATCTGCTGTAATTCAGCCTCCAGTTTCTTCTGCACAGAAAATACTTTCAAATATGAAGTCAAAAGGCCATTATTACATAAAATATTAAAAAAATGACTACATTAAAACATCACATTGTTATTTAGTTACTACTCTCAACCTCTCTCTGCTAAGGGAGGGCAAACAAGAAAGAGTGGAAAATATGACAAATAAATGGCACAGGTGTTCAGAAAAGTAAATTTCGAAGCCATCTCAGATAAAAATGTAGTCATGAGAACTGACCAAGAAGAAATAGTATGCAAAATAACAAATGTAACAATGTTTGAAAAAAGCTGTAAGTTTTCAAAAAATTCTCGATAAATTTATACAGATCTGTACAGCCAATAAATTTTACCAGACTTTTACAAACTTCATTTGGAACTGAATACATAGGGAAAATGTGGAATTAAGTTTTATAAAATGCTCTAATTGCCTATACCTGCACATGCAGCAGAAATCTGGATATGGACTAAAATACTTCTATCAGAAATGATGAGGTTTCTATAAATAAAGGTAAACCTATCCCTGTAACAGGCTGTGGAGGCCCACAGGGTTGTGAGATGTCGAGGACTGTTCGGGAGTGGATACGCTGCCAACCACAAGCCTTTTTTGATAAGGGCATCAGGATGCTTCCAGAACATTGGTAAAAATGTGTTGACTCCGGAGGGGAGTACGTTGAAGACTGACATGTGCAAGTAAGTGTTTGGCAATTATGGTTTTTTAAACAAAAATCAGCCCCGGTCATATTTGAACCACCTAGTACAAACACTATGAGAAAAGTAAGTGAAATTAATGTATACAATGGTATGGACATGCATTATGCACGGAGAAAAACAGGATTCCTTTTGTTATGTTGAAATTAAGATTTTGAATGAATGACTATTGGGAAGCCAATGATTTAGGTAAAGAACACAACTAAGGGAGCATATAAAAATGATCAGGGAAAGAGTGGACATAGATATAAAAGGAGTGCTTACTGGAGAACAGAGATGGACAGAGATTCATAGTCATGAGATAATCCCATCAAAGTGGAAATGTAAATAAATGACGACAGACATAGATCAGTTGTCTAAAATAAAATCTTTTGCCTTCAACTTGATCAACAGAGGTCCTTTGCTGCTACACATGCATACCTGATGCATGGTGAGAGACTGCACCTGTCTCTTCAGAACTTGCATCCGCGCTGTTGTCACCACAGACCGGACATCTGGGACAACAGCATCAGAGAATATTTCATTAATGAGCCGATGGTTTCGAAGATAGCGAGCATACGCCACATGCTTCACTGAGTAACCATCATCTTGGTCTGTAACAAATCATTAATTTGCTTTAATATTATTATATTTAAGCATCTTCTTGCCTCACTGTATCATTTATTTCATTTAATATATTTCCGTCTGCAATGCAACTTATTATTGTCCCTTTTTGCTCCTCACAAAATGTTTCGGCCGTAAACAGCCATCGTCAGGTGTTTCTAATTCGGTAAAATTGTTGGTATGTCCAACATCTCATATCACATGTGAATGTGATATATTTTTATTTAAAATAAATGGATGCAAATAAAATCAGCAAAACAGTTAAAATTTTGATACTTTGCTTGGGGCCATCTTCCATCCATCCAAACAATGTTTGAGCTCTCCTTGTTTGGGTTTATGTGCGCAAAGGCATGGGTGTTTGTGTGTTACTGTACAGTTCCCAAGTATGTTGGTGTACTTATAATCTGCAATATGCAAAGAATACATTATTATTATTATTATTATTGTTGTTGTTGTTGTTGTTGCTGTTGTTGTTGTCAATTTTTCCTATAAGTTAGTTTTACTTCCTTATACTCATGTATGCCCCTCTGACTGTTGGTTCTTCACCCTGTTTGTGTAGTACTGTTTATCGTTCTGCGTATGTAGAGCTTATGAAAGTTCAGTGTGACTAATCCTGCATTTATAAGGCAACTGGGGGCATGTGTGCTGCTATCTTGTGTAAAGCTCATGTAATGTCTCGAACATAGGGTTGTGTGTGTGGATATGTATGTATGTGTCATTCATATGTAGGTTGTCTTTACTGATTTTATAAATGTGATACCTTTCCAAGGTATTCAAATGTTTTCCCTTCCTCCCCAACATTATAACATCCACAGTATCCGCTAAAGTTCCATATGCATGTCCAGTGTTCGGTATGTGATTTGAATATCTAGAGTTGCTGTTGTTGCTTCTGATGTCATGAATATGTTCTTTATATCCGATATTAAATTTCTGACCAGTTTGTCCGATGTATTTCAGGATAAATTTAGGCATTTCACTTGTGCCACTTCTGCTATACTTATATTTGCTTTAATACATTTCTAAGTAATGCAGAGCATGCGTTCACATCTATATTGAAAGAAAAACTGCACAAGTAACAGTTCATTTGCTACCTTCTTCATCCTCTGCAGGTTGGATGTCTATACGCCGATCTGCAGGCTTTCCTGATCCAGCAGATGACCGTTCATGGGCTTCCCTGTCTTCTGCTGCTGCCTGGGCTAGGAATCATAAACAAAATATTAACAAAAATCACAAAAATGTCTGACATTGTTTTATTCAGATTTGTGCCAAGTGGTTTTAAAATGTTTCCTTATAAACTCACACATAAAAAGAAATAATTTTTGTGAACAAATGCAATGAAGCAGATACTGTTGCTTAGACACAATATGGGATTGTTCAATTAATATTTTGAGACCTAAAAAAAAAACTGCCAATTTTAAAGATGCATATATGAATGGACTACATAATGAGGAGCCTGATAACTTGTACTCTTCACCAAGTATAATTAAAATAATTTTGTCAAGGAGGATGAGATGGGTAGGGCATGTAGCACAAAAGGGGGAGAAGAGGAATGCACACAGGATATTGGTGGGAAAGCCAGAAGGAAAAAGACCATTATGAAGATCAAGACATAAGTGGGTGGACAATATTAAAATGGATATTAGAGAGATAGGATGGGGTGGTATGGACTGGATTGATCTGGTTCAGGATAGATAGCAGTGGAGGGATCTTGTGAACATGGTAATGAGCCACTGGGTTCCATAAAATGCTAGCAAGTTCTTGGGCAGCTGCAAGATAAATTCTTGCAAGCACATCAAAGTGCAAAATAATATGAAAAGGAAACACTGAATGTACAAATAGATAATCTGTTATTAAATTAGGAGTTTCAATTTTGAACTCTGTGCCAAACAACAAGTCTTGGATATAAAAAAAGTATGTTATTAGATTCATACAACCCATGATTAAATTTACATTATTGCAAATGTTCACTATTTTCTAGAACATTTAAACTGAACTGTAATATTTATCACAAACTTTCATTACTTGGGAAACATTACATTACAGCATGCTACACCACATACAATAGTAGAGAGAAAGAGAGAAGAAACAATACTACATTTCAAAACCACCAGAAAACTGATTCATAACATTTTTGCCAAATATCATGTATCTGTAGATTTAATAAAGCAGGACTGGAAAAAGTGTACTGAATAATGTTATTCACAAATTATTATTCTAAGTGTTCTTTACGCTTTATTAAGTTTACTTGCAACCAGTTTGTATACAAAATTTCAGCAAATTGTAAAAAACCTGTCCAATAGTTTCGGCACTGGTACTAAGTCATGGATGGGTGGATGGACAGACAGATAGACATGACCTTCACTTGAAGATTTTCTACCTAGTAAAGACCACCTAATATGAACAATTATGGGCTATTTCTTGATAATGACAAAACCAGCAGTAACTTATAGTTCTTACTAAGGAATATTAATTTTGTCTATGTGGGTGCGAATGTATGGTTTTTACTAGGAAGAACTCATAGTTATAGTTTCCAAAGCTTTACTAACACATATACAAATTTAAGTAAACATAAGGTACTAAGAAAAGTTTATAGTAGCCAGGTACTTGTAATATAAAATACAATTTTATAAATTTATTGATTTCAATCAAAATTGTGACATGTTGCGAAATCCGAGCCCCCCCCCACACCAGCAGTGACGCGGCGGGGGAGTCAGCGCTCCCCTCCCACCCCTCAGCGGTAACTGAGCGCTCGCGTAATATGCGAGTAATCACCCCGCAATGCGCAACGCGCGGTGACGTCACGAGCGGAGCCGAAGATAGCCGAGCCCCGTAACCGGGTAACTATGCAAGGCGAATCAACAGCGGTGACGTAACAGGATGACGTGGCACTCATTACGCAACCGGCAAGCACTGCAGCTATATAAGTAAGCTGCACAGCTGGTACCAGCCAGTTCTAGTGTGGCTACCGCAGAGTTGTTGTACTGAGTTGTACTGTAACAGTCGCCGAGTCGAGTTGTACTGAGTCAGTCAGTGAGTCCTGGAGCTACCGCCGAGTTAGCCAGCAACCAGTCAGTTGTATTGTGGCATTTGGAGTGTACTATTTGTGATACTGCAGATAGCAGTAATCGTCAGATTGTAATTTGGGTGACTGTAAGAGCGAATGTGAAATAAAATTCGCTACACCGAATACACCGAGAATTTATTTGTCGCGATATACGCCCGACACGCGACAACTGGTGTCAGAAGTGGGATCAGTAACGCAAAACACGTTACAATATCATTAATAAATGCTGTGGGGAAAAAATAAATACAATTAAGTTTGATTTTTTTGTGCACATTCATTCACATGCCAATGTAATACTGGTTATAAAACTACTTAATGAGAGAAGTGCGGTGTCCCTTAAGCACACTATGCTCTGAGTTTTCTTTCTTAGGTTATGTTTATATATACAAGCAACATAAATATGTACAAAATTCAACTGATACATATAGAGAAGCTACAAGAGAAAGATAAGTCACTACTGTTTCATTTCATACTAAATTTGACATGTTTCATCATCTATGAATATACATCATTTTGAAATGCAGTAACTACCTCTTTAGCTTTAGGACCCAAACATTGAACATGGCTAACATAAAAGCTTGCAGCTGGACCTTTCAAACATATTTAAAGTCAAGTCTGTTTCCGTCACCAGGTCATACGAAACCTACTCTGTTGGGTCCATTTGACAGAGCTAATGTCTATCCCTGATGGGGTAAAGGGTTATCTCAGTGAATTAAATCAACTTTCAATGAAGTTAACTTACTGCTCGTTAACAGATGACAGAAACTTAATTCATGCCCCCATTTTATTAAATAATTATCATGTAAAGCAACAATCCCAAGTGAAATGAAAGAGCAGTTACTCATCACCATTGTGTTAGATAAATGCTGCTCTAACATCTATGACCACTGCTGCTTATAAACTTCTCAGTTCTTTGAAAACTTATGAGAAGGTTCCTATACTCATTAAATTTAATTAGTCTGAATGGAAAATAAGAGTGACTCTGACTTGATGCAAAGAACACTTGGCAGTGTCCAAACTCAAAACAAAAACTCTGTGGCCTTTAGTCTGCACGCAAACTATACTGACCAAGCAACCACCGCTTGTCGGTGAAGTTAGTGCTAACTTCTGTGGATAGAGGGTGTCGCGTTGTCAGAGCAACAGATTCCCACGGCCATTAATCTCAATTTTCTAGACCGGAGCCACTACTTGTCCACAAACTCAGAAACAGAGAAGATAATATGGCTTTGTAAGATTTGAGGCTTTCACGGCGGTGACTATGAAGAAAGCAGTCTTCTGGGATTTTGCACCGTGTATATGTGGTATTAACCGACGTTCCTCCGAAACGTCGGTTAACACCACATATACACGGTGCAAAATCCCAGAAGACTGCTTTCTTCATAATATGGCTTGCCACAGGAATTTTTAAACTGTATGAAGAGGGTCTGAAGACCCTAAGTTAATGATGGCCGATCAGTCTGAATATTCCTGATGTCCCTAGCTAAAGACCTCACTGAAATTGCAAGACTGATCTGTTATTTAGCATACAGGAAGCTCCACAAATGTCTACCTGTGACATTAGACAAAGGTGAATGGTTCGCTTCATATTTCAGCTATCCTTCACCCCGAGAACCCTGTGGGTAGGAGGATGGATGGCCACACAACCACCTGGGTGTGACACACACACACACACAAAGGGGGGGGGGCAAAGGCCAGAAATCCCAACACTGTTCATCTAATCTGTAGCTTGTCACTTTAATGGGTGAGATATCATGGCTCCTTAATTAATCTAATGCATTCTGTGCTACACAAGACTGTCACTACATGTACACAGTTTACCGATTACATAACTGCATACAGTGATTAAAGTAGCTTTCACTGAAAATGCAGCAACATGTAAAGTTTGACATCTCATATCTAAGTCTTAATTATTAACATCTGCAGGTTTTTTCCATTAATCTGTATTTGCTGTATGTTACATCGATGTGTTGCCATACCGTGCAGGCCAGCTGGCTGTGGATCACATTTTTTCATCATTTAACATCTGCAGGTTTTTTTTTTCTTTTTTTTTTTTTTAAATTAATCTGTATCTGCTGTATGTTACATCGATGTGTTGCCACACTGTGCAGGCCAGCTGGCTGTGGATCACATTTTTTCAAAACAAATAAATCACAAGTTAAAAACAGCTTAGAACTGTTACCCTCAAATTAAAATTTAGCCACTACTCCTGTAGTGCTGAGTGATTCCCCTATTCACAGATGATAATTTTAAGTCTGTGTGGGTGCATATTCAGGCTAGCACATCCTCTCTTACCTCACATCCCTTATACTTAAGACTGTTAGAAATAAAATTCACTACCTTTCAAATGTTTCAGAGGAAATTAACTTATCAGTTACTTCTTTTTATACATACATTTATATTACAATTTCAATCTCTGACTTGTGGTCACAGATGTTATTACAGCTGTCTCTACATACAGTAACCAGACAAGACGACCATCAAGAATTACTGAGTGGACGTCAACCTACCCGACTTACCACGGGTCTTCGCAGCAATGTATGCCACATAGGCAGGTGAGTTGTGGTAAACTTTCAAGTTCTTCTCATACTCTAACTGTAACACAAGTAACAAGCATGCGGCACAATTTGTATTTCAGAGATGCCAACCCCTTTAGTAGCTCCATGGGTATAACTTGAATCCAAAATACCTTGGCCGCACTACAGCTCAAGCAGTGAGTCACTGGCTTCCCACTGCAGTGGCCTGGGTCTGGTCAAGTGGGATTTGTGGTGGACAAAGTGGCGCTGGGGCAGGTTTTCTCCGAGTACTTCAGTTTCCCCTGCAAATCTTCATTCCACCAAATTCTCCAGCATCATAATCACCCGGGGCAGGTACAATAGGCCAATCAGTGGCCGCTGTGCCGAGTGGACCCAACTGGACTCCACCCCCCACTATGCGAATCCCAAATACATTCAAGTTTTCTTAACATTCAGCAAAATACTTATTTCTTTGTAAGTGAAGCACACAGTGTTTCATAATTTATCTCCAACAATGCAGAAATAAAAGCATTAGAAAATGGAGATACTTCTACATTAGTTGACATCTCTGTTTCCACAAAAACTGTGAGAGAATTGCAGAGAAAAATATATTGTCTTCCCCAAAACGTAAAAAGAACTTTGATTGGCACACTGATATTTTAGAAATATAACCACGTTGCTCAGTTAACACTGCGAATCATGTATAATCCAATGAATTCATTAATTAATGATCAAGGTTCAATGTCATAATCCAACATTATGTGGATTTACTTAAAAGCTACACAGACGCTCTATTACCATTAGTGTATAATTTTTGAAGTTCTTAGAAATTTTATATTTGTGAATAAGGTTTTCTACACACAACAGAAAAAACTGAATATTATTCATTCCCAACATTATACATATTCTAGGCTTCTGCTGTGCTTGTATAACTGACGAGTGACATTGTACAAGTCAAGGGATAGTCTTATGTGTTATGCACTGATAAGCAGACTAGTATAGAGCCATTACATTGGTGTGGGAAGGCATGCTTTTTGTTGTGCTGACGTGTTTGGTGAATAGCATTTTTGTATGACCAGAAAACTGAGTGAACAATTCATCTGCTGACTCCTGATAAGTATATTTTAATAAATTTATATTTATTCATATTAAAATCTGTATCAAGGTCTAACTTCAGTATTAATCCATTATAGGTGCATATTTAACACTGAGGACTGGACAAATTTTAAGTAAAACACTTTCTCACAAATAAAATCATAACCCCTAATTCAAAGCACTTGAATAATTCAGAGACTGGAGTGGGGAGCCGGGGTGTCTAGGGAACATTAGAGCTATATGCAGTTATAATATCTCCACAATCATGAGCTTGTTGTACTTATTACTGAAACATTTGCTTTTTGATAATATTTTAGTATTTGATAATAAATGCCAGTATCATCACTGCTAAATCCTATCATTATAATTATACATATCTATATCAGACTAATTTCCTGCAAGCAATTTCTAATATTCTTAAACATAAACAGCATTAAATCCTTCACAAAACATTTTCTTTTCATGACTAAACTTTAATTTTGATATTCTAGCTCTTACATGACTTCTAGGTGATATATCTTGCCAAATACTATAGCTCTTACAAGAGATGACTCAATAACATATGGATGACAGATATTTTAGGAATTACAGAAACGTCAAAGGCATAAGAATACACTGTTCTCAGTGTATTCATACCTCTTCCTGCACATGTGGAATTTGCCCCAGAAATACAAGAGACTTCAATAAATGATACAAACTCCGTCCTAAGTGCAAACAATATACATTTATATGTCTTTGATCTTGTTCTTTCTACACTACATGTTTCGGCCTCTATCGGCCATCATCAGGTGTATACTCTTAACGTTGCTGCCACACTGAAACATGTAGTGTAGAAAGAACAAGATCAAAGACATATAAATGTATATTGTTTGCACTTAGGACGGAGTTTGTATCATTTATCGTGTAGAGTGCAACAGGATGCTTAAATATAATATTGTAGACTTCAATAACTTCACCAATTTTACAGGTCATTTCAGACACTTGAATTAATCGATTCATTAAATAATATTCACTGAATGGTATACAAGTCTTCTATCTGCTATCTGAAAAAGTAGATTACAGTAAAAAATTTTTTTTTCCTGCAGTTTTGTATGGGTATGAAACTTTATTAAGGGAAGAACATTGACTGAATATGTTTGAGAACACAGAGCCAAGGACAATATTTGGACCTAAGAAGGAGGAAGTGACAGGAGGACAGAGAAAATTACTTAACGAAAGGTTTCATAATTTGTACTCCTCAGAGCACAGAAAATCAAGGATGATATGGGAAGGGCATGTAGCATGTATGCAACAGAAGCAGAACGGATATAATGCTTTGGTAGGAAAACGCGAATGGAAGAGCTCAACTATAAAACCTAGGCATACATGAAAGGATAATATTAAATGGATCTTAAACATGATGTGAGAATATGGACTGGATTCATCTGGATCAGGATAGGGGCAAATGATAAGTTCTTGTGTACATGATACTGAATTTTTGTGTTTTGACTACTTCTTGACTAGAAGGGCTAGATAGGACTAGATAGGATTCTGCTCCATGTAATTGGTTATAGATGTTAACTGAAAATTTTTATTTTTTATGTACCCTTAAAGTCTAGGGCTGTTAGGCTGCGGCAGTGAGGAGGGTGAACACCCAACATAAGGATGAGCCTAGGTGTTAAGTTTGGTATCATATGACAGTGATATAAAACCAGGATTCATAAAAACCAAACATTACCATTAATTTCACATGGCATTTTAAATTCAATCCTATGTTTGGCCTTCTGAATTTTGATAATGGTTGAGGGGCTATGCTAGAAGCCGGAAGCTTGCGGGTTCAAGTCCCGATGAGGTCACTGGTTTTTTTTTTCCATTTGACCTAATCCTTCCAGCCGCACTATGACCCTGGGGTTGACTCATCCTCTAAGAGAAATGAGTACCAGGAATTAATTAAATAATTTTCCTGGGGAGTAAAGCGAGGCTGGCACGTAAGGCTGACAACCTTACCGCCATCTTTGAGCCGATTGTCTAGATAATGTGGGACCCTCAACGTCTCACAACCCTATGGGCCTTCACGGCCTGGTACAGGGATTGCTTTACTTACTTTACTTTTACTTTCATTGTTCTCAGGGCCTACCTTCTCTGCCTCATACTCCTCTACATACTCAGTCTTATCTTCTTCTGGCAAGTCACGCCACATTTGTCCAATTATCTTCCCAATCTCCCATAGCTTCAACTCTGGATTCTGTGCTTTCACCTGATCCCAGACTTTGCGACTGTAACGCATGTATGGCATAAGAGGTTTCTCTGGTGGTTTAGGTGGTTTTGGCACCCTCGTGTCTCCCTGAAACAATTAAATGCTGTGAGAACCTCAAATCTCATGGTATAAGAGCAGTGAAATTTCAGACAACATAATGATTAACTCTTTACGTGAAATTATAGCTAAACCACAATAATTTTAATGGCAGAGTGTGTTTAAAGGTACTGCCTTTTCTACCATTGTGTGAAAGTACCCCTAAACTAGAGCAATTACAATGGCATCCAATGCATCAAAGGATATTACTTGTTCTACCAAGGTCAAATCTAGGGCCGCGCCATAGCTCAAGCAGTTACTTGCTGGTTTCCCACTGCGGCAGCCTGGGTTCGATCCCAGGTCTGGTCATGTGGGATCTGTGGTGGACAAAGTGGCACTAGGGCAGGTTTTTTCTGCATACTTCAGTTCCCCTGCCAATCTTCATTCCACCAATTGCTCCACAATCACCCTCACCTATCATCTGGGACTGGTACAATAGGCCAGAAGTGGCCGCAATACAAGGGACTTAGCCCCACCCCACTAGCAATAATAATAAAAAAAAAAGGTTAAATCTGTGTACAATGAACTTTTGATTAACCATGATAATGGGGGGATGAAGTAGTGTGGATAATTAAAAACAATGTATAATCCCAAAATTCGATACATTCACTATTCACACTGCATTCAACCCTGAAAACCACATAATTATATTTCAGTAGATGTGCTACAATCACTAAACAGAGGCACAAATATTTTTCCAAGAAGAGAAGAACACAACGCCTGTATAATGGCAGGCTACCAAGAAAAGTAATAAAGTAATAAACTAGAAAGTTGCAGATGCACAGTCTACCACAAATCACTGTAAACCATCTCTGAAACATATTACTGAAACAGGTGTAATGGCCAACACTTAAACCATTACAGGAAGCTATAATCAATATCTGAGGACTTCTGGAAGTTATATGGTTAGCCTGCAGACGAGTAATTGAAAGCCTACTGCATATTCAGTATAATTTATTTTCTCTGTTGGTTGAACAACTTCATCACTTCCTAACTAAACCAATGAGATTTGATACAAGCTTCACTTTTATAATAATGAAAAAGGAGCCAGGATAGTGTAGTTGGTATAGTGACAGGCTACGGTTAGATGACTGAGGGGTCACAGTTCAAGACCCAGTAGGGTCAAGAATTTTCTTTTCTTCACGTCATCCAGACCGGCTCTGGGGTCCGCCCAACCTCATATCCAATGGGTATCTGGGGCTCTTCCCTGTGGTTAAAGCAGCCAGGGTATGAAGCTGACCACTCACCTCCAGCTAGTGCCCAGACCAAGAAAATGTGAATATATATATCCACTCGCCCATATGCCTTCATGGTGTAGTACTTAATTAGTTAGGTACAGAGACAACATGGAACACTCTGCATAAAATAAATAAAATATATATACAATATCAGGGAATAGAGAAATATATTAACTGCAGGTTCACTAAGACCACTGTCCCCATTTCTGTTATCTGAGAGCTCATCTGTTTAACCTTTTGCATATCATGCACAACTAGATCAGCTCGGTGAACTTGCATTAATACAACCACAGCCGAAAATCTCCACTCATGGTTTAAATTAATTAGTACTGCATTTCTGTCAGTAGATGGCCTCAAGTGTGACATCAATGTTAGAAGAAAGAACAGGTTTCCAAATGGAATATTTCTGCTGTTATTTGACGTGACTGCTGTGTAACTGCATTTACTCCCAAGAAGCCCTGGCATTTCTAGTGGGTACTCTTAGTTCTATGGCAGGATTTGGATGTCAAGGTGACGAGAGGAAATGATTTACTTACACTCGATCCTTTTCCAACTTTCTGAGGGGTAAAGCCTGGATGGCCATGAGATGTTGTCATAAATGGGCTCTGGTTGGCTGATGAATCTTTCTGAAAAACACAGCAAATGACATGTTCTTATAGTTATTACTAATCATACCCAATTAACTGAATGAGTGGATGCCTGAATGGCACACTCATAACCTTTGCCAAGTCTTACACAGAAGACAGCATATAACAGACTTTTAAATTACATAATAGGACAGTGTAAGGATACATTAAATCTAAATGGAAAAGTAAAGGATTAACTATATACTGTTTTATAATTTTTCATTCCACACTTCTTTTGCAATTCTCAGTTGCTGTAATGAACGATGAAACATGATTTCATAAGGCAGTATTCAAGTATGTCTTCTAGGGTTGAAGGAAAGAATGAAATTTCAGGAAAGAAAATAGTCTTGAGGAAAGACAGAATCTCTCAAAGATGATGTAAAGTACCAGGCACATGTCTTCTTGTTCAGTTCAAATCAGTATTTTTAGCATCTTAGGTGCAGTTTTACTGAAAGGCTTAGTCTAAAATATATCCACACAAATATAGTGAATATATTTCTTCCTGTTCTGATAACAAATTCAAAAGATGTTTTCTGAGTATTACATACATAAGCCACATCAGAGTTTTTAGGGACAGAACTTAGAAAATAATGACTATTCTGATACACCAGTAAGTGTCTGCAGTTTCACAGTTATAAAACGTTTGTATTAGAGAATAATATTTTTTCCCCATCTGGCTTTTCTACAACTGATGCAATTGTTTGTAACAATGCCTAAGCACTGCTACACAAACTTTTAACAAATACTCATAAACTAGGATAGTATAATATGGACTCAATTATCATGGATGATAATTGTAAAACAATGGGTGACCCAAACAGTGATATGTACATACAAAACAAACTCTGTTATTTTAGCCTGCAAGCGAACTATACCGACCAAGCAACCACTGCTTGTAGGTGAAGTTTAGTGCCAACTTTTGTGGATAGAGGGTGTCGCATGGTCAGCACAACAAATCCCCATGGCCATTAATTTCGGTTTTCTAGACTGGAGCCGCTATTTCCTTGAAATAGCGCCTCAATTATCATCACAAAGCCGAGCGGACCCCATTCCAGACCCACTACTTCTCAGAAAAGAATCTGGTAGTGCCGGGAATTGAACCCGGACCTCTGGATCTGTAACCAGGAATGCTGACCACTAGACGACATTGATAAAATTACAGATTGATTGTATTAGACAAGAACAGAGGCACAGTGCTTACTATTCATCTCGGATGGTCTATTAAGAAGACTTCTCATTTCAACTGTGAGCAATAAAGTGGAACAGTGGTGATTCAGTATAAAATAACCTATAGTTTAGATAAAACCTTTTGTCAATGATGACTCACATATTAACTACAATGTTTATTTAATTCTTACCCCTGATCCAGAAGAAGAACTGGATGCGCTTGATGCTCGCAAACGTTCTGCAATCAACAAACACATGTGTAAATGCACAACAACAGCTTTTAAAAATTAATGACATAAACACAATTAGTGATATTTATTGAGCTAGAGGAGTTACAATAATAAAGGAACTTGATAAATACTCATAAACAAGTACTGTCTACAGACATCCAATGTGTGCTTCCTTACTAGTTGCATGACAAATATCAGGTGATATTGGAATACCCGTATGTCCCATGTGCTTGACCTCGGTGCTTGCTGGAGGTGAGTGGTCAGCTTCACACACCATCCTCATTGCCCCCAGGGAAAGAGCACCTGGTACCCATTGGATAGGAGGCTGGGTGGACCCCAGAACTTTTCTGGATGACATGGAATAGTGAAAATTCTTGTCCCCATTGGAACTCGAACTCCGACCCCTCGATTATGCAGCCTGTAGCCAGCTGCTATACTATGTTATTCCAGCTCCTAATTATTATGCAATAAGGAACCAAAGTATTTAGAACTGTATTATGTGCCATCTGTTGCAGAGGAGGAAGGCCCTTAAGCTTTTTACATAAAAAAAAAATGAAATAAACAAATAAATAACAAAAACTGAAAACTGGACTGGAACAATATCAGTATATGCACATGTGATACAGCAGATATAACTGTGGGACACATATTTACCAACAGACTCTTTGGGGTAGGATAAAAACCTCACGCAGCCAACCATGCCCTAACTGTGAACAAAATGCTTATGGATCCATCATGCCCTGTCATATTAGTTATGACAATGGCAACATGTACAATTAGGAATATAATTTCATGTAGATAATTCAAATTTTCAGAGAGTTTCATGGAGGTAGGCCTAGGCCCAAATGAGGGCTGTAGCGCCAAAAAAAAAAAAAAAATTTTCAAATTTTATCGCATGCAACACTTTGTAATTAACTAAAAACACATTAGCAAATGTGATTATTGAATAACAGGTTTATTTTATGCATCCCACATATTATCTTTATCCTATTAACTAATTTGGTCCTCATAAAACTAAAACATAAATAATTAAAGCCTGTGTTCCAAGGCAGGTTAATACAAAAACTTTGTTCATGCACCAATTACCAAGAACACCATCAAAGGTTATGGCTTAGCCCTGATATGTATATACAGGATTTTTATTTAGGGTCTATGATCATTAATGTTTTCAGATAAATATTTAATGAACCAAAGCCGAAGTATTTACCTGGGCATTAGAGCAAAATATCCAGGATAGTGCACACGTAACACCACTCCACAACCACTTTTACTTATGTATCAAGCAGTAAAATTGTCATGTTAATAATTCAAAATGTACATAAGATGTAATTATTCACTAATAATTATGAAGCCCATTCTGCTTCAACCTCAAATTCTCAAGGGCATCCAATGTTGAAAGGAAACTTTATACAATTTTGCATAAGTTATTTAAAATCTTTTTCTACAGAAGTCTCTTAAAACATATAAAAGGTAAATCTGTCGTTGTGCTTAACTAATTAAGCACTACACCATAAGATTTATGGGGGAATGTGTGTGTATAGATCCTCATTTTCTTGACCTCAGCACTAGTTAGAGGTGAGTGGTCAGCTTCATGCCCTGGCCACTTTAGCTCCAGCAAAAGAGCAGCCAGTACCCATTGGATAAGAGGCTGGGTGTAGAAAAGAAAATTCTTGACCCTACTGTGACTCAACTCCAACCCCTCGGTTGTCCAGTCCATAGCCAGTGGCTATACTGACTGTGCTATCCCAGCTCCTGCTCATCATCATAAAACATCATTCACATTTAAGACCAATATGATGCAGGAGTCAATATTGTAGAGAAGTAAAGAATTTTGCATTTTGTCTCATGTGATGCTGAGGGTTTGTGTTCTATGAAACTGAACCATATAAATCTCCCATAACATCTATTTGATTTCATCTTGCAGAACCCTTGTAGTGGTTTGTGTGTTCTGATGATTACAACTTCTAACATGGCAAATATGAATTCACACCTTCAGATCTATTAATTTAGTAAACAATGGTTTCAAATGGGTTTTCGTAAGCATCAGCAATAATTGCTTTAAATACCACTAAATCTGGTGATTTGCTGAATTTGCTAAAGTATAACTCAACCATTAGTAACAAAAGTTCCATTATGTAGGAGCGGGGAAAATGTTATTTACCTGCATAAAACGCAATATTGATAAACTGAAACACATCATATAAAGTAAAATAAGGGGGTTTAAATTGTGGTAAACATAGAATTAAGTATAGAGAATGGATTAAAATAATAATATTCCAAACCACTATACACTTCTTTCTTACTTTTTTGAGAGGAACATCTTTCAACCTTATAATTAACTATTTACATTTCTATTAGGTACATTTAAGTCCAAATTACAAGTCCCCTGATGGATAATGTCATTTAGTGCCTTACTGTACCTTAATAGAAGACTTACAACTTTTTATACATATTTGTTAACCTTTAATTACCATACCAGATATATAATTTTTCCATACAGGAGATGTAAATTTCATTCATTAAAGGTTAACATAAACTATACATTTCTTTCTTTTCGCTGATCATAATGTATCAGAAACAGAATTCCATTCTTTTGGGCAGTCAAAAACATTGAGGTACAGAGTGGTGAAGCAGGCCAGTATGCTGCCTGGCTTTGCACACAGAAAATTGCCTGGGAACAGTAAGATGTACCCCGATCACACTACTGCTCCCCCTGCATTCTTCTCTCATGCACAACCATAAGCAATCACTTGTTTTGAGAGATCTAAGCTGGACTGATTTGCTACTATGAATGAAGAACAAATTTGAATATTTATTCAATACTGAAATATATTTTTGCACAAGTTGAACTGCACATATAGCAACTACTAACTTTTGAGAGATATGCTAAAATTGGTTAATAAATCTATTCATACTATTTGGAGAAAGAACACAACATAAACAACTCATAAGTCAGAATATCAGTTACCACCATTTAAACACAACATAACTTACATAGAAGATATAAACACTGTATATTCTCACAAATCTACCCTGTTACGATCATCAATGTTGTAAATGTTAGAGACCAACAATGTCAAACAACACTGAAAAGTGATGCCAAAAATTTCAATTTTATTGTGTGGTATGATGAAGAAACAGGGCACAGGGCACAGAGCTACCAGTGTATTGTTACTGGCTGCACTGCCCTATTGGTCAATTTTAAAAGTCAAGAGTGGGATATATTATCGTAAAAATTCTGCTAATACCTTAATACAGTACCGTGAATTTTAAATGAATGGAAGTTGTGTAATTATTTGTAATTTAATTACTGATGCCGTCAGTAACTCAGAATATGCAGCATCAAATGATTAAACAACAGTTAATTTGACAGGATGTGGTGAAAGAGATATCCTGGCATCTGTTTGGAGAGCACAAAACCACAGAATACTTCAATCAGGACAGTATCCTACCCAGTACTTGAACCAGGCACCTCCCAAATACAAGTCCAAAACATCACCATTTCAGCCAACTTTTTGGCATGTTTCCTTTTGTTGGTTATTTCATGATGATATTAGTATCTAGACTCTACAGTGAATTGCAGGATGATGAATCACAAAATGGTTTATTTATGGCAATGTATCTAGGCTATAAAGTAAAACTGTCCCTGTGCTTAATTAGTTACACTATGCCATGAAGACATATGGGGGTGTAGAGGTATGGCTCCATCTTCCTTGAACTCAGCACCAGATGGCAGTGAGTGGTCAGCTTCTCGCCCCTGCAGCTTTACCCATGGGGAAATGGCCCCCAGTACCCACTGGATAGGAGATTGGGTGGGCCCCAGAGCCGGTCTGGACGGTGTGGAGAAGACAAAAATCTTGCACTGCCGGGAATTGAACCAACGCCATCCTGCCCAAAGCCTGTGGCATTACTGGCTCCATTATCTACACTATATAGCTTTGGGCAGAAGAATGAGTGATTAGTGTCAAATTTGAAAGGATATAGAAGGAAGCGGTTGTGTCCTGAGATACTATACCAGAATTTGCCTGGAATGATTGAGGAAAACCAGGAAAAACCTAAGTGAAGAATGCAGACATCCTGGCTGTGATTTGAAGTACCTCCTGAATATCAGTCTAGTGTGCAACTACAATGATAATGCATTCGTTCTACTCAGTAAGAAAGTTGCAAAATACACAGAATTAAATGAACTACTTCATCACAGTTTAATATAAGGTTTAAATTACAAATATATTAACAACCAGTCATACGAGGATATCACAATTGTTTTGATTTACATGTTGTCTGACAAAACTCCAGTCATCATAGCAGACTGGAGCCAATGATGCATTTTCATTTTCAGGCATTATGGCATATATTACCGAACTATGTTATTTGCAGGAGTGCAAGCTGCCCAACACATAACACCAACATGCAGTAGAGGCACATAAAACCATGCAACACCCATTTCACCTACCTTCATCCACTCCAGACAGATTTACTCTAACTAAACAACTTCACCAATGTATGGTAGTGACTATGCTTCCACCTGACAGCAACAGCAGTCCTATTCACTTCAAAAAGATGTCACTAACTATATATAGCAAACAACCAGATGGTGTGAGGTGTTAGATGTGACTATGAACATGATGGTCCTCTGGATTTAACACCAAGCAATTTGATATATAACCTACACATTACCACATCTCAGAAAACAGTGATCTTCAGCTATTAGATGGAAGCATAGACAAAGTCTTATAACAACACATTTGACATGTGAAGGTGAGGAAAGGTATTGTATGGGTAGAGATAAGCCCTACACATAACTTCCATCCCATGAAGGCATAAAGAAGATGCATGCATTAACTGTCACATTTGAGCACGAGAGACTGCAAACTTTACACCCAAGGAAAGAGACCATTAAGCAGATCCCACAGCCATGTGAACATAGTGAAGCATAGTATCAAAATTCCTATCAAAATTAGAATTATGGTCCTTCAGTCTGAATCCCATTATGTTACAACATGTATCACAGCTCTATTAAAGGTTCAAATTGTGTTATGACATGAAAGTTGATACATTAGAATAAAAATAAAGCATGTGCATTGTAGTGTGAATTAACAGGTAGTGCCATTTTCTATCATTAACGTGAAGGGCCTCAACACAACCCCTTACTATTAATTTCAAATTAACATTTGCCATTCACAAAGCAAGGTTCCCTGTTTCTTTTGTTTGGAAATTCTATGACATGCACCTTTCTTTCCTATTTCCCTTTCCCACAGAATTCCATTAAAAGTATTCTACACATCTTCTGTCAACAGTTGGGTTAAATGCTTTCCCACTTATGCCACAAATATTCATATTTAAATACACTACGGAAGGAAATTTATAATGAATAATACTTTTCTGTTAAATTCTTGTTTCTCATTTCTGATTTTTGGTTAAATAGTTTCAGTTTATTGGAAGTAATTTTTAGCTATTTTCAATTAAATTTCAGGGGGCCTGGAGCAAACTGTTTGATAAAGGTTAAATTCCAGATTAACCTATATACCAATTCACATAGATTCCTTTACTGTATGTAGACTGCACCAGCTACTGTAGTATTTGACATAAAGAGCATTAGTGATGTTTCAACACGTTGAGAAAGGAATGGCAGGACAGAGAATACACATTGTAAACAGTGCCACTGGAATTCTGATCATACAAGGTCTGACAAATAACCAGACATAACATAACATAACATGCATATTCTCACCAACTTTTAGTTAGTGAAATCAATTTTAAAGTATAGTAGACCGCCCGATATAAAGCAAGTGTGAGTGGACAACTTCAGTACCCAAATTATAAGGGACATTGACATTTACCTAATTTTGAAATCCTTGTTATTATGTATATAATATTTATGCAATGGATGAAATATGTATATAAAATGTAACGTACACTTCAGACTGTGGTCAAAGAGGTAAAATGGCTGCTCAATAGACTTTGCTGTTTGACCAGAATAATCCCAAGATTAGAGAAACCAAGAACATACAGCCTATCCTTAGCGGACTGTGGACTTTATCCTTTGAACCGGCAAACCACACAAAGGAACACTGTGATACAGTTTATACTACAATGAAAACATTTCATAGAAATTTGTATAACATAAAACATACATAGTCATACTGGGGGAAATGATCAAATCCACAGTGTAATGAGGGTACACTGTACAACTATTGTATTTCTGGACATTAACAATTGTCCTGTTCGGAGAACGGAGCAATTGTTGTTTATTATGCAACGGTCTATTCTGGCGTTTCCACNTTTATTTAAAATATGTTTCAGAGACTGGATTCTGTCTCCGTCTTCAAGTAGAACCTACTCAGTCGGGCCCCATCAATAGAGCTAGTTCCTTCCTCTCTGGATACATGCACCAACACAAGATAAGGTATACAGACCAAGCACAGCACAACCTATCTGTGAGAGTTAAGACAAACATTAAACAATTCCACATGTATCAGGCCCAGCACCAGAGTACTAACAGAATACATGTCATCACCAGAGAGATAAATTCTCTGTATGGCATGACCATAAAAAACACAATTTAACAGAGCAGTTGTTTTTTACGCTTCTGTTGCAATAATAGGAGTCCAGATGGAAGAGATGTCCAAGTGGGGCTGACTGATTCATCTATTAGAGATATAAGCAACATGTGGGCAGATTTCTTGTATTTCCTGTAACTGGTGTCTGGTTCAATCTGCAAGATCTTCGCTTCTTTCCCACATATTTTGCGGCCTCCTTCGTGTGCATGTA